TAACAATATTTCTGATTCTGATAACTTTATTAAGATAAGTAAAAAAGGAGTTTGTTTGTTATTGATCAAGGAACAAAATTTAGCCTTTCAAATTATTCTATTCTTTTTAGTTCAAAAGGTACAACAGCTTAAATATTAAATTTATTTATAATAAATTATTTCACTGTCTTGTTGAAAGACACTATCAAAAGTCCGTTCAGCGGGTTAAAATATGTAAAATAAACCTTAATGTTCTCATCTATGTAAAAACGGCCAGTGAAACCCCTAATCCAGTCAAATAGGAATCTGATTTAAGGATGTTCAATAGTTAATCAAAAGTTAAGAGATCTGTTTTGTTTTTTAATATGTTCAAATTAACAGCCGGACATTCCAGCATCGATTTTTTAATATTATTTATCAAGTAAATAAATAAATTATAGATAAAAATTAATTCGAAAGTTCATCTCTTCTACATAGGCTCTTATGGAGAGCGGTCTTAAAAGATAGTCACGTAGAGTGCAATGTCTCAAATCATGAGAGATTGTTTTCAAAAACTGTCTGAACAAAGCATAAATTTTATAGAATCTAATTCCGAAGATTGATTTAAGGTCACTGCTAAAACTCAAATAATAAATTGAATATGCAAAAAAATTTGAGTTAATAGGTTAATAGAAAGGTGTGTGCGAATGTTGCACGTAGTGAGAAAGGGAGCCCCCCCCGCTCCTTCGTCCTGTCCATCCCGTATGACAGTGGTGAACATCCTTAAAAAAGTATCGCGAAAATAGTGCCAACCCGTTGCCAACGTATTTTCGTCCCTCAGGAATACGAATCTCCAATTCATTTTCGAAACCGGTAGTAAGTCCGAAAGAAAGAAATATGTTTTCGTTTTCCGCATTTTATTCGAAAACGGTAATATTTACGGGGAGGGGGGGAATATATACCATTGTGTAGAGTGTCAAATTTTACATCAAATATGATATATTGCATCTCATTGTTGTAAATATCAATTATAACAACAAGAAATAAATCCAACATAAAAAAGAAGATAGGCTGAAAAGTGTCGCATTTTATTGGTGATGTAATTGATTAAGAGATGGTCACGTGATATGACATATCACTACACGCATGTATGACTATGTGTCGCTAATTTGATTAGACACACGAAATAAACATTTTTCAGAAAATACAATATTAAGCTTTAGGATTATGCTAATTGTTAATTATTATTAACCAGTAATTTGATTTTGTCATCTGTAAAAATCTCAAAATCATTGTCGATATAGTAATAGTAACAAACAATAACTTAGAATAATAATCCTGGATAATTGTCGTAGAAAATATCATTGAAATAACAGTTTTCAATATGATAAATTGAGAAATTTAAATATATAAAATATAAATGTTTTGTAAAAAGAAAACTGTAATTGACTAATTTACTGCAACTGGCTAATGTGTACAAACTGTAACTGACTAATGACGTAAATGTATGTGCTAACATTAAGAAAATATTCAGTAACTAGTCAAATAATTATTTTGTATGAAAATGGTAAATAATCAATTTGAATTTTCAACTCTAAAATCTTAGCAAACGTTCAATAGTTCTGTACACCGATGCTTGAAGAATGATTTTAATGATGACGCGTTTTATGCTAGAAAAAACATTGATAAAACAAATCGTTGAATTGTTTGCTATTTTTTGTAAAAAAACCGTAATATTTAATTATACAAGAAAACTTTTTGAAATTTGAGCCATGATTTGTATTCAGCATACTCAAAAACATAATTAATGATACCTTGAATCAATTTATCGTTTTATTTTACACATTAATTTTGTGACCTAAAGTATTTCCATAAAATGACGTCTATAGTCGTTAATAGGTTAATTTATCCATAAATCAAAACATCCATTGAAGTTATATTATTAAATTTTCTTTGACGCAAAACATGTGAGTTTCACTAGAAGAAAGTAAATATTCAAAATTTTTATCGATTGTTCAAAATATACTATTAAATGATCTTTATGATAATTTCAATGTCAAATTTTCCTGAAAATTGTATTGAAAGAATTGATGATGTAAAAAATATTTTAGAAAATATATATATATATATATATATGGAAGTATATTTAGACGGAAATAATATAGAGATAAATAAAGAAAGTCTGATATTCATTAGAATTTGATTATTATCCCTTTATTTTTAAATGACGACAATTGCCTATTATATTAGCATTTACAATGATAATTAATACGGTACAAAGTCAAAATCGAAAGTTTAATGATATTTTCTTAACATTGCAGTATGCTTGCCTTTCGTCTGTCTCTCTCTCCCTTCCTTCTACTTTCGACAAGGCACAGTGGCCAGCGTTGGACTATAATAATGCGTTTAACAATTGGCCTTTTGTTTCAGCCATCGAAGATCGCCGAGAGTGGCCGAAGAAGAAATATGAGTCAGAGAGAGAGAGAGAGAGAGAGGGAGAGAGAGAGAAGAGCACATGCACGAATTATGCAGGTTTAGGCAGGCGTGCGACGCACGACCAATTAGTATTCTTTGTCACACGCCGCTTAATAAGTAGGTCAAGTGGGGATGCGGTAGAGCGAAAGCGAGTGGCGACAAAAGGGAGTCGGCGGAACATAAGGAAGCAATTGAGAGTAAGCAGTGTGTGTAAGTCGGAAGAGAGTAAGGAAGCAGTTGAGAGCAAGCAGTGTGGATAGTCAGAGGTCACAGCAGGGCAGGTTCTGCCTAGCAGTGTGGGTTATAGTTGTTGAAAGCATGAGCAGTAATGGCAAAGTACACGCAGGTCGACATCATCGCCAGCGACTGAGCAACCAGCAGGACGAGGTACCGTCGGCAGTTGCAACATCTTGCCAGAATTCAGAGAGGAGAAGACGGTCTAGCCAGCAACAGTTCACCTCCTCGTGGCCGGCGGTTCGGCGCCAAACATAATCAAATATCCCTTTTCCTGTCTATCTCTCTCTCTCTCGTGTGCGCAAGTATTCTCTCTCCTTACTAATTCTCTTCATGGCAACTACAAAATTGCATTAAGTCTGACTTAGGTAGTTGAGTAGTAAGGCGTTCATCTGCCGGCTATTCGACTTATGGTTCGAGCAGTGACTTGTGTAAAGGTAATGATTGCCAAGGTGATGTCATCGCCGTAAAAGCTAGTGTTTTGGTAATAATTCTAAAGTAATAGTGTGTTCGTTAAGTTAAAGTTACGATTTATATTCGATTCTTATTTTTATAGTTGTGTTCATTAGATTAAGGTTGAGATTTATTTTGTTTGTTCGTTGTAAAATAGAGAATGGTAATTTGAAATTATAGTATACAATCATTTAATAACCTATTCTTTTTCTCTCCTTCGATCACTGAGAGCGGAAGTACTTCTCTTATCCCCTTTTAAAGAATTGGTAGCAAAGCACATAGGTGACGCGACAACTTCGTTACATTACTTTCTACGATAACCTTTTACAAATGGTTTTTTTCAATTTACAAAATTATACAATGATTTCTTATATTATTTTGTTTCAATCAAAAATTTCATTACAAAAAAAATATAATCAAAACCTCGATTATGACAATTGAAGAAACTGGAACGCTCGGAATCGATCTAAGAGTCACATTAGTCGTATATATCGATAAAATCCACACGCGTCTAGGCATGATAATGAATTTCTAGTACGTTAATATATCTAAATTGATAAATAAAATGAAAATATTAACCTGAAGTGTAGTACTTTTTTTGGTATAATAAATGAATTTACAATTGAAAGTACAGTCGAAAATATCAAACGAGAGTCTGAAAATACTTTTGTTAATTTGATTATGAAAAAATGTATTCAAATTTGAATGCCTTATACTTCAAATACTTCAAAGTCAAAACGCTCCGAATGCAGATTTCGATACTGCTCACTGCTAGTCGCTACCCGCTAATATCAGATAATACATAGCTATACATATATATGCAACTAAAGCTAAACCTTTTTCAATAGTACACATTTGCTTATGTAATTTAAGTATATTTCAAGTGTTTAAAAAAATTTTAGTCATCCATTTTTTACGAATTTATTCTATAATAATCTAAGTATTATCGAAAGTATATTTACTTATATTGAAGGTGGAAAAGTGTTGAGCACAAGCTACAAACACAATTGTTAATATAAATTGAGGTTAAGTCAGCTGTTTGATAATGGCATTGTTGGAACTGTTTTGATAGACTATAAAATATCAAAAGAATTTTGTTGTGGGAAAGGGTGTCATTGTCAAATTTGTTCAGTCTACAAATTTTTACAAAAGTTATATAAAATTTGAAAACAAGTCACTGGATAAAAAATAAAGTAACGTGTTAATATAACTTACGTATAATTTTTAAATATTCTCGCTATAATATATTACACTATATACTCAAGCCTACCTAACAAGAACATTTCAAATCATTAATCACACCATCTTTGGATATTTTTCCACTGATTTCGTGGGGCTTATATTGCATGTAGAACATTTTTTAACAAGAATTTTATCATTGCAAATTAAATTTATAATTACAAAGCATTATATGTCCTGCTTTAAAAACTCTGTCATCTTCAAAAAGCTTTCTTTGGCTTTCGTTATCACCAGCCTAGTTATAAATATTTTTCATTGAAATATACTAACTTAAGCACTACACTGGCTCGTAAATGCACATGGACTCTGGTAGAAAAAGTCCACTGTCTTACTTAGCTGTTATATGGTATTGTATTATCCAATAGACAAACAAATTGCGAGATATGAAATGAGACTGAACTGCGCGCACTGAATCGTAATGGTGTCACCTCTTAAAATTTTTATAATATTTATTTCTTGTTATTGTAAGTGATATTTACAAGAACTCAAGATATATACTCAGTGCATCATATTCGATGTAAAAGTTTACGTTCTATATGATGGTATACTTTTTCCCCTCTGTAAATATAACCTTTTATAACTTTTCGAATAAAACGCGAAGAACGGAAACATTTTTCTTTTTTTCAGACTTGCCACCGGTTTAGAAAAAAATTGCAGATTCGTATTCCTGAATGTTCAAAACCCCTTAGCAACATGTTGGCACTATTTTTGTGATACTTTTTTGAATCAGACTCCTATATAACTGAGCTACCTTCTGGCAACTAAACTGTAGCCCGCAAGCAATAAATTATTATATCAAGTTTCAAAATATGATATGCGACAGCGCAATACATTTTCGAACGTGTCAATAGTCATGAATGATGGTAAACGGATGGTATTTGTACCCAGATTGTAGGGCTCTCATTATGGTGTAGATGATTTACGAAGATGCTGAAGCAGATGATGGTTGGGTGTCTCGAATACTATGCCATACAGCTGTGTGTGAAGTTGTGCGTGTCGTCGTAGTATCGCCTCGTTCTCGACGTTGAAAACGAGTTTGAACACGGTTGCTAGCTGTGCTTGACGCTGAAGCGCGCACCCGTCCTGTAGTCCCGCCACTGAAGCATCCGCAAAGCGTCGAAGTTAGAACACCCAGCGCACCATCTACAACAATTGCAAAATAAGTTATTTTTTAAATAGTTCACTCACTAATATCTATAAATAAAATACTTTTACAGTCGGCCAAATATGAATAGTTTCTGCGAAAAAAAAGAAATGGCATAGCAATTACTAGAAATATTGCAATGTCGATCGATGAAAAGTAATTGCCTAAAAGCAAAGGTATGTATGACAAAAAATCGACTAACTGTTATGTTCTTGTAGAGCACTAGTATGCCTAGATGAATCGCTGGAAAGGCTACTGGTTTCACTGTCTCTAACGACGCTGTCGTATCCGGAGCTTTCAGCTCGGTGCCTTGAAAGTGTAGCAGGAGAAAGTTTGGCAGCGCGCGAAGTTGAGTCGGCACCTGAGTCATAGTCATCCTTATTGAGTCCGAGAGATGAATCCAAGCTGAGTAATTTTCGGTGCATTATTCCGGATGATGGTATGGAAGATGAATTGGATGAAGGCAGATTGGTTACCGGCAGTGGTGAGGGAACGGTAAAACCTGAAAAAAATTTTAATCGATGATTTTTACTGCGGGATTAATAGTGACTACTGCTTATATTTAGTGATGAATGCGATAAATTAACGATTATAGTTAACGAAATAGCGGTATTACTCGGAAAGCGTAATAACTCGTCGCTTTGAGGCTTGGTAGGGAGTATTTTATCTTGTAGTCTTTGAAACAAAGTTGTGCCGGTGTTAGTTGCGCTGAAGGCAAACAAATTTTTAGCTTCGATGTACTCCTCCTCGGGATCCGAGCCTGAGGCACCATTGCCGGGTATTCTCTCGACTTCCTCTTTAAGATTGGGATTGGAAGCGCCGTCCGGATGCCGTAGATTTGAAATGTTGCAGTCGACAAGACGGCTACAGTAGTGCCCTGGACTGGTGATATGGGCAATACTGTTGGCGTGCAAATAAGAGTCAGTCACCAGCTTGGCCATGCTCTGCCTACAATTGTCGCAAATTTTGTCCTGCTCATTTTTGTTGGCTGCGTAAGCAGGTTCGCTGTAAATACTGCCATGATTGCTCGCTGTGTCGTTGGAAAACACGTCGGATAGCGACAGTGACTGACATCGCGAACCTGGCCGGAAAGCCCCAGACATCGATGCTATAAACAATTTGAATATTGCTAAGCTATCGAGACTTATGAATGATCGTCGAATGGTATGTCAGCAGCTTACTCGCTGCTATATTGTTCGATATAAATTGAAATACGTGCCTTTACTATACTTAATTAGTGTTGCACGTATAATTACTTACATGTTGGCTCTCGAACATTCGTAGAAAAGGACTTTTCCCTTTGATAAGTTAAGGAATTCGTGACGTTAGCTAAAGCCAGCTTGCTTTGATAAAGCTCATGAAGTCGAGCCAACTGGTCGAACTTGTGGCGATTTTCCTGCTCTAGGAAATCTTCATGATCAAAGTAAGGCCTTGGCTGCATACCCATTCCTGCAGGTGGTGGAAAATGCGATCGGTAACGTTCTGTTTCCGACAATACTGACAGCGATTCTGTATACAAAGGAATAAGTAATTTCCGTTAATATATTTCATTCATTTAACGTTTAATATAACGAAACTCAAGTAGCGTGAATTTTTCTGTATTATTACGTCAAGCTCACATAAATATTATAACTAAAATCTGCTAAAAGCTAAAGGCACGGATGCAATATTTTTATAAATCTATATACTAATACTTTCACATAAGCTTAGACAGCTAAAAATTGTACTATATTTTATAATGTTAATCGATATTGTATTTTACATGTAATATAATATGATTAAACTTTCATTTTTTTATATAACCTATAAAATTTCTTTAGCTTTTACATTTTATATTGGTAATATTATATAATATTTTGTAATGAAAAATTAATCTTACATATGACAATGGACATAAATAATCATGAGTATATAGGTTCTATCTTTTTAAAATAAATATATTGTAGTTTGGAAAGACAGCAGAGATTCTTAGACTTTTCTTTTAAGTTAATACACTGAGAAAAATGTCTTTATAAAATTTATTAAAATTATAATACAAATTAAATAATAATTAAATTATAATACAATATTTTAAATGAGTAACATACTTATTTAGTGGCGAATTTTGTCATAATTATATAAAATGTTATAGCTATTATAATAATTGCTGTAATTAGCTGATTATAAAAATTGTTATAATATCCCTTTATAAAAAAGCGTATGTAGGTATTCTTTTGAGCTGCTGAATCCAATGGTACCGGTTGAAATTACCAAAAGTGGGTCGGTTTTTTTATTTTTCTTAGTAAATATGGATCATTTTAAGCAGAAAAAGTCCCTTGCAATTTTTTCGTAAAATGCATATTTAAAAAGTTATGAATTTTTAAAGTCGAAAATTTAACGTTTTTCACAAACTTTGAACGTTAATAACTTTTGACTTGTTCAATATTTTTCAAAAATTGAAAAATATTTTTACTCTGAAAGAGTTTCTCTATATTTTCGTTTAGTGCAATTGCTAGTTATTCACCCGGAACCCTCTCACGGCGGTCCTGAAGTAGGTTTAAATCGAAGGTCCTTGCACTCTCAAAATTCCAACGGGGTATCTTTTTAGGATGTTTCCTGAGCAATTTGAGCTCAAAACGAAAATCGATGATTGGGCCGTTTTTGAAAAAACCATTTTTTAAGTTTTCAATGCAAAAATAATTCATTTTTTTATGAATATGTGAAATTTATCTATTGAAATACAAATGTATGCCTTCCTATGTTGAATTATCGTCTCTTTTCATTAATGTGCGTTCATAGATAAAAAATGTGTTTATGCAAAAAAAATATTTCAATTATAATTAATATATGAAATTTAATTTATTCTTATAAATAATGAGTCATTACGTTTTGATATATTTTACTTGACAAAGGGATTAATATTATTTGCTTCCAAATTTAATTCAACTTCTGAATACAGATTTGACTTCGACGCATTATACATGGGTTGTTTGTAAACAGAGCGCGAAAACTCGATAGTTCACGCGTACGGTTTTTTTGGAATTTTCAGTATTGACTCGATCTGAAAATTTGCGAGGACAATATTATTTGACAGTCGTAAGAAGTCAATCTACGAAATAACATTCGTTTAGTGATATTCTTACGCGCTACGATGTTGCATAAAAGTAAATTGCATTTGCGCTCACACCAAGAAAATCGTGATATGGTCTGTTTATTATGCTTTGACAAGAAAAATGTGATGGTGAATATTACGACTGTGATACAAAAAAAAAATAGAAAATTTGTTCGATAATTACGATTCTACAAATGAATGCCTCCCGCATGTGATTTGTGCTAGTTGCAAGAGAAATCTTTACCGCTTTGACTCAAAGCAACAAATTGAGCAAATTGTTTTTCCAAAGTTCGACATCAGGGACAGTACTAGATCTCGTGAAAATAAAATATGTCGATGTGAATATTGCACAGTAGGTAGAATGAATGGGAATGAGTGGAGATGGAATGCTCCTATTCGAAAGGGTTTTCAAATCATTCCAAAATCATCTGATGTAAAAAAGAATACATGTACTCAGAAGAAATGTTCAAAGTGTTTCGGAGTAATTGCAAAAGGCAAAAGTCATGTCTGTAAGAAATCTAATCGTATACCTAATTTGAGTAATTCCATCAAAGAGTCGTGTAATTCACAGGAAAAGGAACAACTTACTGTGCTAATTTTGAAAAATATTGAAAGAGATAAAAGTAAATCGAGTGATAAATCAAAAGAACGTGTGGTGTTATTATTTCAAAGACGAGGGAAAAAACTTCAAGTGGCTTTAGGAAAAAATAACAATATAGCAAAGTTCGAGAAACAAAAAAAACAGTGTATATTGAGTGCTGATGATTTTCATAAAATTCAAACTAATTACAATATCAGTTACAAAACTGTATGTGGTATCGCCTCTTGTATTCGGATTGCTTTGAAAGATCGTAAAATCATCGAACCTAATTTGAAAAATAAGCTGCTATTGAATAATCACTCCGTAGATGACTATTTTGATGCAAAAAAGTTCGAATTTGTTAAGAATAAAGGTGATGAAGTTTCTGAAAAGTTTGAATCTGTGGTATATTGTAATAATGTAAAAAAATTGATTGAACATGTCAAAGAATCACGCGAAGTTGACGATGTACTTTTAAAATTTGGTATTGATGGAGGACGCGGATTTTTGAAAGTTCGTTCAGTCGAAATCCCAATAAGCGGCACAGACGTCCGAGAAAAAAAATACTCGTCAATCTTACAAAGATAGCATCGCCGCTAAAAAATTTAAGGACTCAAGTGTAAAAAAAATATTTATACTTGCATTGGCGCCTTACACGCAAGAAGACTATGCTAATATTTATCAGTTGTGGTCTGAGTTGAAGATTAATAATTTTGAGGAAACGATAGCAACAGATCTTAAACTTGCTAATATTATTGTTGGAATAATGACGCATGCAAGTAAGTTTCCATGTACATGGTGCTATGCAGAAAAAAATAAATTGGATGAAATTGGAATTCATAGAACTATAGGGAATATTTTTGAAAATTATGCAAATTGGATAAAATCAGGGGGTAAGAAAAAAAAACAAAAGAGTATAAGAACTGCACGAATGTTCCTATTATACAAACTAAAGAAGATAAACTGGTTTTAGAAGTGATACCACCTCCAGAATTGCATTTAATGTTAGGGGTAGTGAATACTTTGTATGATCATATGCTTAAGCAATTTGAAAATGATGCTGAGAAATGGGCCAAGTCATGTCATGTGGAACGTGAAATAACGCAAGGAAACTCAGGTTTCAAAGGCAATTCATGTAAAATCTTACTAAGTAAAGTAGATGTTCTAAGATCGCTTTGCAGTATAGGGTGTCTCAAATTCGTTAAGGCGTTTCAAATATTCAATAATGTTGTAGAAGCCTGTTTTGGCGTGCATTTACAACCTGAATTTGAAAAATGTATTTCTGATTTTTAACAGAGTTATTTAGATGTAGGTATCCCAGTGACACCAAAAATTCATGCAGTTTTTTTTCATGTGCGCGATTTTTGTGTAGAAATGCAAAAGGGTTTGGGTTATTACAGTGAACAGGCCATGGAGTCTGTGCACTTTGACTTTTCTAAGACCTGGGACAAGTACAAGGTTTCAAATAGCAACCCGAATTATGAAAAACAATTGTTGAGAGCTGTATGTGAATACAATTCATATCATGTATGATTTTTTTGTGAATATTAATTTTTCCTATTGTTGAGAAATAAATTTTTTTTATAAAATTATTTATTATAGCCTTATTAATTATAAATCCGAAATTCTAGTGACCTACACTAATAATATAATTTAAAGTAGCATGAATTGTGTATTTGAATAGATACTGATAAAAAATGAATTATTTTTGCATTGAAAATTTAAAAAATGGTTTTTTCAAAAACGGCCCAATCATCGATTTTCGTTTTGAGCTTAAACTGCTCAGGAAACATCCTAAAAAGATACCCCGTTGGAATTTTGAGAGTACAAGGACCTTCGATTTAAACCTACTTCAGGACCGCCGTGCTCTGATATTGCATTTTGCAAGTCGCGCCATATGATATGATATAATCGCGTGATCGCTCATCAAGCGTACAATTTGATTTGTTTTTTTGTTCTCGTAAACAATAATTTCTTACTAAGATCGCTTATGATTCTTAATAAATTATGCTTTATATATCAACACATATATTATTGATAATAATAGCAGAATCTCAAATTTTGATCATTACATATAGCAAAATAAATCTAATATGTATATTTTTTTATTATTACGATTCTTTAAGAATATGAAATTTATTTTTGCACGTACTATTCTTTTGGCATAAACAGAATGAGCAGCATTCAATTTGAGCCACGAAACAACATGATGCCGTACGAGTGTAAGTTGTACGGCGACAATTTGGAACAAATTCATCCACAGGCGGTATTAACGTATAAACCTTTTTCAGTACTAATAAATTATCAATCATACTATAACCGTAGAAGAGCGGATCTAATTGGTCAGGATTTACATTTAAACAGTATAAATATTGATAAGTTATATAATATGCTCGATGGATGTGCAAAGAGATAGAAGCTGAAGTATGCGACAATTTATCGAGATTACAGTTTATTGTACTCCAGTGGAAACTTTGGTAACGAAGGTCATCAAATTTCGTATAATTAGTGTTTTTCTGGTAAACATTTACTAAATATGTTTCAGCTAGTTCTTGATGTGAATATAAAGAAGAGATAGATGAACTTGTAATATTTACAGTGAATAAAATAGTGATATATCATCTTTACTATTGAATAATTGACTCACTTCGTCCAAAATCATGAAGGTAATTTTCTGCTTCTGCTCGAATAGCGGTGCTTTCGTTTCGATGGTACTATAGTCGTTATATAGATATTAGTATAGTCGGAACCAGTCAAATGATGAGCCGTTATAATTGTTTGGCATTTTTTAGGTCTTAACAAATTTGCCAATTTATGAACCAGTAAATCACGAGTGGT